GGGTGCATAGAATATAATGGTGAGTTAAGAGCCCAACATGTTTCTTATTTGGAAGATCGATAATATATATTTTATAATCACATGCAAGTTCAAGATACTCTTTCCCTGGAGGTCTTCCGGATAGAGGGAAAAAGCTCATCCGCTCGCAAGTATAGGGTGGGGAGAAATCTGGGTCTTATCTGAAACGCATCGGAAGGTTGCATTCCACCCAAACCGTTCAGAGCGGTTGCGTTCCAACTCAAACCGTCTATAACGATTGCATTCTAACTAAAGTCGTCCACAGCGTTTGACAGTGCCATAAATTTCAGAGCAATCAAATACGAAGTGATCATGACACTGATTCTCGGATCAATAAAATGGAGTAAATAGACCGAAAAAATATGTTGGCATGTTCCGAATAATAAGAGGAATAGAAACAGCTCACTCAAACCTTTGTGAGTGTTCTGAGAATAACAAGTAACAACACTCGTTTGTCCTACAAACGTCAAACTTTCCTCTCTCACGACATATGATTATGTAGTAAGACTCAAGTGGAGTGCTCATATCCCCTGTTATCCAACTATTTAGTAAGTATATCAATCTTGAGAAAGTTATATCCTTGACAAGTCCTCAGATATCAATATGAAACCATCAGAATCAACATTCGTTTCTTAATAGACTACCGCAAGACAGTAAACTACAATTGACACAGATGATATTAACTGCAATAATCAATTCAGAACTCTTTATATTGTTCATTGATGTATACCAGAAAGACGATGGATACATTACTTTATGGAAAAACCTGCTAATTTCTCTCGCATCAATCCGTTTCTGGATCTCTTTGTTTTGTTCTTCAGATTTCTTGGACCACGTATTTCAAACAACTCAATCTTTTCTACTTGTCGTTTCCTAAAGCGTTGCTTCGAAAAGCATCCTCCTGAAATCAATTTTTGAGATTTCCAGGGCGGAGCTATGAAGAGTTGTCATCCACAAGATTAGTCCTACGCTGACTTCAATATATTCGATAACGACGTTCGTGGATTGGCTATACTCTTGAACACGATGACAAACTATTTTCGTCATATTCCTCTCACGGATAGCAGCTTGAATGCTGCAAATAACGGTATACTTTTACAAGTTGCTCTCACCTCATACCCGTTTTATGGAGTTTCATAGTATTAGTTTATGCTTCTAAAATGATGCTTCAAAACGGAAGAACCAAGTATTGGTGAAATTACCCCTGTGAAAGACAGAATAATTGGCTTACTCCCTAGTTTACTGCCGATGACAAGAAAATGACGTCTTAGCTCGTTAACTTCTCGTAATTTTTCAAAAATTTCCAATTTTCACAGCCTAAATCTAATGCTACTTGCAAGTAATAGTGTAGCAAAAATATGAAAAAAATTCAGAGCTATGTCAAGAGATCAAACGACGACAGCAAGATTTCATGAAAGCTTTTAATGCTGGCGATGCTGCTGGAGCTGCCAATGTGTATGACCCGAACGGATACTTCATGCCAAACGGGACGTCCCCAGTGAAAGGAAGAGCTGGTAAGTCTGCAAAGATCTCCAACTGGATATTCAGTATCATTAAGGTATCGAAGCTTTCTTCAGAAAAGATATGGCCGAAGGTGTTCAAACAGCCCAGGTAAAACATTAGAAGAATTTATCTTTGAAGGTAATACCTACAGATCATAACTGAAGAAGTTAACGGCAGTGGGGATTGGGCTTTCGAACGTGGCAGTTACCATTTAGACGGCACTCGCGGTTATGAAAGTGGTGCATATCTCCAAGTTTGGAAAAAGGTTCGATACTCATGGTGGCTTATGAACGGAGTAGTTATAGGTGGAAGGTGAATGGTTAATACATAACGATTGTTTCAATATTATAAGGACGAATAGTTAAATCCATATCGCAGTCGTGAAATAAATTGAGTAATCGTTTGATGTTTCTATAAAGAATGCAACAGCTCTGTGCTAAAGATAATAACCCTTTATGAAGAAGTTGGTAGTACGAAGTAAGTTGATGATATCAACATCTCGCCAAAGGTGGTCGCTCTAACGGTTAATGACCACATTATTCTCGTTTTTATTAAATTTTGAGCATTTATATACACATGAAAAATTAGAAGATAATTTAACAAAGAGCTAAGGATTGAGATCACATACAAGAAATAGAGAGGTACGCATCGTCGAAGTAAATCATTAAAAATTAAAAATAGTTATATTTTAAATAAGATCAAGCTTTCAGCTGCAACAGTACGTCACGTTAGTTGCTATTCACAAAACATTCAAGGTAAAAAAGAGTAAAAATAGTTAGGCACTTAATAATTATTAAAACATGCCTAGTGAACCCGTACTTCAATAAAATAGAGCAACAACAACGACTCAAAAATCGAAGCCTATATGTCCAAAGTTAGCATAGTGCTATGAACACAACTATGTGTAGTGAACTCCACATGAGGACAGAATGACTTACTTAGCAAACAAGTTGTGCTTTGGGTATGAGGTTCAACTGCATCTCATCGAAAATCCTTGATAACTCAGAGAATGGTATTTGTTGAAGGACGAGAAAATCGGTCAAATCAGTTCTATAATGATTAATATACACAGTGCACTTGTGAACACTACTCACCTCCTAGCACAATATACGCAATAAACTGGAAATTTTCCATTGTGTTCTTTAACAAATAGAATATTAAACACTTCCACCTAAAAAAATTATGCAATGAAACGCATTCATTCCCTATTACCTCGCATAAAGTACAGTAGTGTGTTACTTCATCTTTAGTTCTCGGTTGAGGCTTCAATTGCTTCCCTTGGCTCATGGCATAATCAGCAACCATCTTGCAGAATGCTAGCGATCGAATGAGTTGACTTTTAATAAAACAGAAGATCTAAAAACGAAAGTCAGTGTGCGGATTAACGAAAACAATATACCTTTTGGTTAGTGAAACGAATATTTTTCGCAAGTTGCCAACAAATATGCTGCATGGGGACTAATGATTTGTAGCCCTAGAGAAAATTCTGATGCTGTATGTAGTACTTGAATATTACCTGAAGTTTGTTCCATTCATAACTGGAAACGCTTAACGATAACTGTGAGTACGTGATTGGGCCAACATTCCACGCGATGTTATTGCACCAGCCTGTGGCTTGTACCCAATGGATGCAACCTCCTCCGACCCAAACGAGATCTCCAGCCTTTTGCGTGAAACGATAAATTGGTATGTTTTCAGCCAAGAGATCATCAACATTCGGCCAGAACGATCCTTTCAAGAAATCAATGCCCTTCCTGCAAAGCATACCGGTTGAGACAAATAAGTGTACCGCTTACTTTCTGCAGAGCCTTTCTATTACTCCCCAATACTCATGTGGTACACCGAACCACTCACAATCTCCAGGGCCTATATTAATATTGACTGAGGCAAAACTATTATTTTCTTGATGAGCTGGAGTTCTAGATCCTGGTACCTATAAAACCGAAAAATCAGTTTAAAAAACATTCATTTTCAACTTGCCTTCATGTAAAGTTGAACAGTATTCATACCCAAAACAGTATGACCAAGATGTGAGAGCATATTCGAGCCGGCGATTAGGCGACAGAAAGGAGGCATTTTTGCTAGCTCATGTAGTTGAGGTTTCCATTTGCTTTCATCTGACAGGTCAACGTTTGTTCCAAATTTAATCATTTTCAATGGCATGGCAAATTCGTCTCCGTTCGGTCCTCGTCTTTTCTTAGCACTAGAAGACTCCGCTATTTGTTGAGCGTATTTAGCACCAGCTGATCTCAATTTTTCTGCTTCTTCTAGAGGATAGAATTATTTTTAGAAACTATAGGATGCTACGTACCTTTTAAACTATGTTGGAATGTTTCTGCTTGATACTGAGCATATTTATTAACGCTGGTGAAAGATCTTGTACTCATGCATTCCCACGTTGGAACTCCAAGATGATCAACGTTCAAGTCGCAAGGCATGCGATATTGAGTTCGTACCTAGAAAGATCCAAGATTTGCCAGGGAAAGCATTAAACTGGGTAATACCTCAACTTCATGGTCTGGAGCAGTTTCGCGCAAAGTTTTAGTGGAAAAGAGGCTGAGGTCCATTTTGAGTACGGAAGTCATTCCCCTTATCAGTGCAATCGGACAGTTCTCGCAATACTTTTGCAATTCAACTGATTGCGCATCTTTACGAGATTCGACAACAATTAGAGGCGTCGGTCTAAGGAGAGGATTGTTTTGATTGCTTCCAACCTATAGATAAAGCATAAAAGTAAAAATAAACATCATTATCAGCTTTTACCTTTGAAGTTGTTGGAGCAGGAGGAGGCTGAGGTGGGGCAACGTTTTCGTCAAATACATGCTTGAACGAAGTAGGATGTTCCACTCGCTTCGAGCAAATTTCCAACAGCTCAGAAGATGATATATCAATAGAAACATTTAATTTTGCTTCTAAGCTAAAATTGATTTTATGATAGTGAAATAGTACATCAGTAACAAATACCTGAAAGTAGACGGCAGCCCAATAGTGGATAAAGATTTATGATGAACAATTTCTAATCCCTGCTCGGGTTTCACGTCTTTAACATCATCTGAATATGAAATGTTCAGGATTTTTTTATATTTCTAAACTACCGCAATCGGTCTCAATTTTCACGCTAGCAGGAAGAGCTAAATGACCACCTTCTTTGATCTGGAATAAGTCTCTCCAAATACATTTCTTCAAACATCAACATACCTGTGTAATATCTCTGTCCGTGAACTTTGGAAGAATCGCAACTTGTTTGGAAGAATAAAAAGAATCATAAGACGACTCCTGAAAAAGAGAGAAAATAAGAGTTTTTTCTGTCGCAATTACCAAATGAGCTTTATGAATACTTTCCATTTGAGAAAGTAAGTTCTTTTCCTGCTCATTGATACGTTCTTTATTAATTTGGAGCAACTTCATGATTTGAACTTGGGTCTGGTCCAGAGAGGGAGCACCTGGACATTCCTAAATCAAACAGATAAAAAAAGTCAACAAATCGAGCGAACCTGCAGGCCTCCGAGTGGTGCGGACAGCTCTCCCATTTTCCACAATGGACTGCCTTCTCTATATCTTTGTTGCTTAACCTGAAAGTTTACAAATTAAACAAATAATACAATTCAAGAATTCTGTTGCAGAATTGCTACAAGGTGTCTATGATAACTAACGACCTTGAACTTAAGGTGGACATTGTGTCTACATACAAAGCTAGCTTTTGAGATGACCACTTACCTTCAAAAATTCGTCTTGTCTACCTCTTAACTCAGAAGGAATAGGTTGATTCCAAGCTTCTTTTAGGCTAGGCAAACTTCTATAAATAACACGTTGCGTATCAAGAAAGTGACTAGTACTGCCACTGCAGCTTTTTATTTATCCTTCAATGGCACATCGATTTAGTTACAAAGAAATAACTGAACGATGCATTTCATAAACTTTTCATTCAGAGAGGATCGTAGCGTGGACTGAGCCTCATGCATATAATTAACCGGAAAGGGATAATCATAGATTGAGATAAGGCCATAAATTCCGATAATAATGATTGATAAGATACGCTCAAGCATAGAAATCTATCAACATAGCTAAACTCACTTATTATGTTGCGCGTGAGATTGTGGTGCCTTCTGAGATACTAGATGAGACGAAGTTTGAAGCTCCTTCTCCAATACGAGTATACGAGCCTTAAGCGCTTCTGGGGCAGCTGAAATGAAAGGAAACTATATGTATAGTCAGAATAGTAAAAGAACGCTACAGGAAGATCATCCGGGTTAATTCATGAACGTGAATTTTCGGGGAATTCATATGAAACAAGTTATTCACTACATGAAACAAGGGGAAAAATCAAACAAATTCATAGATTTAAGGTCAAGGCTAGAAGAGCTCAAAATATTGATTATTTTACGAGAAATTCAAACTTGAAGAAGAGGCTTCAGCTCCTTGTCTCATTAAACAATCTATATTGACTCATAGAAAAATTTTAATAAAGGCGATTGAAAATCAAAAAAAAATTTCAACCAAAAAAAGACTTAGGAGAGAACTGTGAATTCATCTCACAAATGAGGCTTCATTCTATAAGCTGGCGACAGCTGTTATGAACGACTGGCACAGATCCAATAGCCAATGGACGCTAGCCCACAAAATGGTCAGAAGAGAAAGAGGACAGAGACGTAGAGTACCACTATGCGCATTGTGGGAGACGGGTCATCGCATAAGAGAGAGAGAGGAAGAAACATAATGGAAAAGCGAGAGTGTATTGACGTTTGAATAGAGATAGAGGACTGAGAGGTTGAGGTCACGTAAGTCCCACAACTCTGATGAGAACTACGTAGAAAAAGTATACCTGGCTTATATTTCACAGCTTTTCTGAAGCAGCTTAGTGCATCTTCAAATTGATTGTGTAATTCGTACAGTCTGCCTAAGTCAGTCCAAGCAGCACTATGCTCTGCATCTAATTCAACTGCACAAATAAACGCCTATGAAACAAGATAGAATTATCTATAGAAACGACCACATGTATCACCTGTAAGGCGTCCATTGGCTGTTGTTGCTGCTGATAGAGCCATCCTATGGAACACCAAGTATCCGCATCAGCCTCACTTTTATCAATAGAATGCCGATAGTTAACAAACGCATCGTGAGCCTTGAACAAATAAATAACTGCGAAACAATGTTATATCAACCTTATGAGGCATTTCTCCATAACATCTACCGAAAAGGTAGAAAGTCTTGCCATTGAATTGTTCAAACTGTGTTGCAGTATGCAAGAACTGTACAGCTTCATGAAGCTTTCTATTTCTCTCTTCTGTAGCTCCTTCCGCATATGGTTGCCGATAGCAAATCCAACCTAATCATGATATAGTAACAAACTTATGTTTGGTTTACCTAAATGTCTATTAACGGCAGCCATAAGCTGCATTTGCGATTCCGTAAAATGCTGGAATTGTGGTCCATGAACCAGAGATAAGTTGTTCACCTGAAACAACCTCATTTACATATTATAAATAAGATGAACAAACTTCATTCAGAATTTTTTTATATTCATCTTCGGAATTAGATAAATCGCCGGCATTCTCCTTTGTTACGGCAACATTGAATCTAACATGCACTCTGGACATAAAAGGAGAGTCTTTCTCATCCGATAGAGCTTGACCATAATACTAAACAAAAGATTTTTTTTGGCAGATGCAGTTATAACAACCTTCAGAGCTTTTGAATAATCCGATAAGTTCTGGTAACAAACTCCAAGTCTAACCTTTACTTCTACGATCTGATCAAGAGTAGGATAGGCATACAGCAGTCGGAGAAATGCTTCAGCAGCTCTGAGATAAGTTAGAAAACTTGAAATCTGAATTTTGAAGTACCTTTTATATTCTTTGAAGTGAATATAAACAAGGCCAAGCCCATAGTACCCTCCAGGATCCTTCCAGAAGTCCTCAGGCAGCAAACGGTATGCGTATTCGTAAGATGACAAAGCTGGAAAAAATAACTGACGGATGCAAGCATGATAAATACGCACCTTTAGCCCAATCTTGAGCGAGCAAAGCTATATGCCCCCATTTCAGCATAACCTTAAGAGTAACATTACACATTGATTCAATCTAAACACATACCTTGAAGAGCTTTTCTTTAATTTTACTGTCTTCTACGTTCAGCTTAGACAATCGCTCGTAACAATCTTCGAGCACGCGATTTCCCTGCAATATACTACTCTTATAGCGTATTAATAGCTTCTCACCTTAAACAGAATATGTTTATCACTACATTGTCTAGGATCCCCTGCACTATAAAACTCGTTGAAATCAAGACTAAAATGTTTGTTTGATGAGATTTAGAAAATAATAACAAGAACCTGGAGATTTTCAAAAACCGATTCTTCTCTTCTTTAGTGAATGTAGGAATTACCTGGAATTTAAAATTTTAAAACTCATATATTTTGTATAAGTTACCTCTACAAGGCGTGGCACATCCATTACACCCGGTGGTGGAGTATGAATAGCCGGCGCAATTTTGGAAAACTATCCTTAAAAGTAAAATTAAAAGAAATATTAACAGAGAAAAAAAAGCACAGCCGGGAATCAATAGACACCTTGAAGAAATGATATTCACGCAGTAACAAATTCACGTGGATGTTTTTAACGTGATTAGCATACGTGAAAAACGTGGAAATGGAATTGGATGTATTGTAATCACGTAACTGTACAGGAAACAATAACAACATTGTATAGAATCACTATGTATATGCAAAGATGGAATAAGCTCCAAGAAATTTGGCGGATTGCCAAGTAATTGGTAAACAGCATATTATATTTTACAATATATATTAATAGTTATAAAAGAAAAAATAAACTAAACATAAAAAAATAACTAAATAAAACAAGAAAGATTCAAATTTAAAGCAAGCGTTAAAGCACGGCGTCACTTAGCAAAATATTCAATCCGACAAATTACTTCTGTGCACTCTGTTTACATACATGCCGCGAGAATTTTTTTTTTGAATAATAGTGGTGAAATGAAGATGTTCCAAGGTTTAAGCGTTGTAATTTGTGTTTTTAATTTTCATAACTGCTTTTTCGATTGAAGCATGTTTGTGTTTATCACAGATTATTTCATAATTCAAATCTTTACCTGTTCTGTTGTAGACCTTTGATCGGTTCTCTCATTGTTTTGAGTGCATGACGCTCTAGTTTTCAGAATTTTCCAAAATTTTAGAAGAATAGCAGAGTTTCAATAGTATGTCAGATGTTCTTTCTCCTTCTAAACGGCCAAAATTACATAAACTCTGTGTTGTGGGGCCCTATTATGGTCACAGCGACATAATAGATGTATTAAAGGTTAGAGTTAAGACATGACTCTGTGATAGTGCTAGTTTCAGGATAAATATAGCTGTGAAGTTTTCTTAAGTCCTGATGGTCTCGATTATATTCATGATCATGAAATGGTTTTCTTTTGTAGTAATTTTGAAAGTCAGGAGTTTCAAAACCTCCAAAAACAGAGTTCGTAAAAGCTAATCCAACAGAGCACAAGTGCCTGTTTCAGCATCTTCAGAAAACGGGTCTAATGGAGGTGTGAAGATATTGGGACCGGCTATTGTCAGAGCTAGAATAGCTCGAGAGCAGGTGAGATTCATCTGACTCAATTTTCTCATACCATATTTTAAAGGAGATTCGAGTTCCCAGAAGTAATAGACCTTTGTACTGTGAGAACATGAAGGATGCCGTCATATTGCTAGGTTCAGATGTCGTAGACAAAAGACTGTTTGTTAATATGCTTCATTACATGGGCGCAAAAGTTAGGAATGATGTGAGTGTTTTCGAGTCATCCGATTTCTGAATCTCATCTTCAGGCTAGTAATAAAATCAATATCATGTTGACTCAGCGTGCAGTTGGTCCTCTAATTAAGGTTCGATAAACTTTTGGATAACTAATCGTATTCTTTTCTAGCTCTCGGCAAACATTAATGCTCATGTTTTGCTACCTGATTATGTTCACCATTGTTGGGCTAATAGAGACAATGCTAACTTTCTGGCAATGGATCCGAAAACTGTAAGCTCTTCTTGTATTTCACTCGAACTCTCATATCCAACCGATTCAGTTGGCCAAATTTGCTATAGGAACTTTTGAAGGATTAAATATTGCATTTCTGGGATTCAATCCCGAACAGTATGAAGATATGAAAGAAAAAGTAGTATCCAACAGTCAGTCTACATTGAAATTTGGCTCTCAACATCTAATGTCGTTCAGAGGGTAAGGTTGTTACTTCTACGGCAGATGCTTCTCATGTTGTGTGTAATCCAACAAACAAGGCTGAGTGGGATAATATTGTCCCGTACACGCGACAGTGGCTAGTTACAGATGAGGTAGGCCGTATCACAAACTTCCGTAATCAGTTCTTTTTGAGTGGATATGGATGTCAGTCCATGCGGGAAGATGTCTTGGAGAGGAATCTTATGTTGTTACTGTTTCTAATAAGTCCGATAAGCTGAGAAAATCAATTGGGAGTCCTATGCGACCTGGCGTTCAGTCCTCTGATAGTAGAACTTCCTTGCTAGACTTCGACCATAGTACTCATTCCGTACTGAATGGTTAGTTTCTAAACATCCTTTGTCAATTTTTAGTGTAATTTTTTTAGCTTCCGCCGAAAACGTGGAGAGCATCAAGTCCCCAGCAGTCGATAAAAGACGAATGGTAAGCATACTGATGTTACTTCTCTTACATATTTTTCAGGTAGTACATGAAATGTTAGAGACTGAGCAAAGTTACTTGAATGCGTTAATGGTTATGTTGAAAGTGAGTGCTCTTCTAAATAAATTTTTCTCAAAATCGGTCTTTACAGTTTCGTGATGTGATTGACAGTGAAAAGTCAGTAGATGATCAACCACTACTTTGTAAAAATGATTCGCAGGTGAGTGATGATTTTTCAACTGCTAGTACTGTTCTGGTTCTAGTTAATATTCGGAAGGTTAGGACCAATCGTAGAAGTTCATCAGGACATATGCAACCGAATAAAAACTCTGCTGGAAAACTGGAAGCCTAATAATGATGTTGCTCGAGTAGGCTCTTTTAGAATTGCACGTCGAAAATTGTTCGTTTTTAAGATTTGGATAGATATGTCGTCACAATTACAACAAGCCTATGTTCCATATCTGAATAACTATGATATAGCCAAATCTGGGTTGGAGAAAGCACTTCAGAACCAACGTTTTTACTGTTTTGTTAAAGTACGCAAACTGTTTTTATGCTTTCTAAAGAATGATCTAGGCTAAAGAATGTAGTCCGGACTTTAAAAGGAATCAACTGAAAGAACTGATGATACGACCTGTGCAGCGATTGCCTTCTGTTATTTTATTACTCAAAGGTGAGAAGATCTTTTGGAACTCTATATATTGGCATAGAACTACAAAAAAGAACTGAAAAGACAGACAGATTGCATAAAAGGTTGGACGAATCCATCCATGTTGTTGGGAATGTGTTGAGGTTTGACTTGATCATTTTTATGCTTTGCTCATAGATGGTTTAGCAAAGCGAACACAATGAGAGCTGTTGCTGACGAGCAAATGGCTTTATATCACAAGTTTACTGATGTGGAAGATTTACCGGTAAGCGTAATCTTGAATATCTAGCTTATTCATTATTTGAAGTCTCACTTGATGTGCAATAGAAGGACATTCGTTTGTGAGGTCGATGGGGTAATCATCGGAGGAACGGAAAAATGGCAGAAGCTTGAGAATAAACTTGTACGATTGATGCTGTTCAATGATGTCATTATTGTAAGTGCTTATAATTCATCTCTTTTGAATAACTGATTTGCAGGTTGTTAAAATCCGGAGTGTTGATATGACTGTCGGCATATCTACACCTAATAGTAACAGTACACTCCACCGTATGACTAGACAAACGTCTTTATCAACCTTGTTCAGACAGCCGACGAAACCGTAGGAATAATTTAATCTCTGGAAAAAAAAATGTTTTTCAGTTATAAGTATTTGTTATCTGTCCCAACTAACTACATTCGTTTTATACGCGAAGTTCATCACCAATCCTCCCAAGGGCATTGTGAAGAGTTCAGTGTTTTAGGTTAGAGCCTCATCTAAGCAGTGATTCACACTCCTTCCCCTTTTAGGTGATCCTCCTCTATATGCTTTCAACATAAGAGAAGCGAAGGGCGATGATGTTTTCCTTTTACAACCTAAAGAAAATGATCCTATGAAAAAACTACTCGCTCATGTTTCCGCTCAGGTGGGTGTTTGACGATTATCCTTATATGGTGGGTGTCCTTTCAGTTAGCTATGGATCTCAATAGAGATATTCGTGGCGTACCACTCGATGTAGACCAATTAACGGAAACCTATGTTGAGTTACACGAATGCTTAACGAAGTTTGTAAGAAAGCGTGCTTCTGGGTTAGTCTGAGATACTTTATAGGATTGAGATTTGTTTTTCAGCAATACATTCCTGAATACAACTATCAATAACGGGACCATAAATCGTCCATCAGGATTCAGAAGAGCTATCAGTAATGCTGGTCTAACCGTAGCCAATCGTCTAAGCAAAATGACAGCGAGTCGTGTAAATTTGAGAAATATTAGTAGGTTTTTACGTCCATAGAATACTCTCAATGTCTTATGTCAGATGAGAACACGGAGTTTTCACCAGAAATAACAAGTTCTCCACAAGGAAATACGTTGATGAAGTACGATACTGAGTTGGGCACACCTAGACGAGGAATAAGGTAGTAATCATAGTTGTTATGAGTAGTACTAACTACTTTTCAGAAATCGACTAACGTCCACTCTTTTCCGTAGGGATAGTATAAGACAACCGTCATATGACAAAGAAAATAAGGAAAACACTCGTGTAACAAATCTTTAGAAAGGTTATTTCTTGTTTTACTAACTCATTTTACTCCACTGAGGATATGCATGTAATCTACTTCTACGTTGATACCAATGTAAGGTTAGCATAATGACTTTCATACCTAATCCATTCAAAATCGATGTTCGTGTGCAGCTCGTTTACGATTTAAAATTAACTCATAAGTCACCGGTACTGTTTCCACTATCGTTTGTAGCTATTTTCACAGTATCGTTGAGTTTTGTATTTATTTTCAATTATGTTTCATTGAATGACCATTGTCTCTAATGATGACGTCCTATTTATCATCAAATGTAAGACAATGTATCTGACATAATGTCCAGACTTCAAACTTTGGTGTCAGTTGCATAATATTACAATAATCAAATATTGTACTCTTATTTTTCGTATACAATTTCCTGAATAAACTGTGAACCAGTGTAGCTTTGACTTTCTGTTGCGATCGGATATGTTATGAATGTGTACTGAACCTGACTCAGTGTCTAACTACCTTAATGAGATTAGGTTTAAGGTTCTGAGCACAGTTCCGTAGTTCTAAAAAGGAAATCTAAATGAGAACTGTTACTAGGCAACGACAGCCTCGTATGGTGAGTGAGTCGAAATCGCTGGGCGCGCCGGAGAATAGATCGAGAGACCTAGCAACGCGGCAGCCAGTTGAAAAGCATATACAACGTTTCGATTTGGAAGCAGCAGGTTTACTAATCTGCTATTTTCCAAATATATTCAAGCTTATCTTCTGTGCGTTCTCTACTTCTAATCATTATTAGTCATGGGTGATCAGGAAGAAGTGTATCCTTGCAAGATTTGTGGTCGGAAGTTTATACCTTCTAGCTTAGTATGTTTTTTGAGTCGATATTTGTGGACATGTAATAATGAATTTCAGGACAAACATCAACCCGTCTGTAAGAAACTGTCTAAATTGAATAGAAAACCTTTCGATAGCGGGAAACAGAGAGCAAAAGGTTCTGATGTGAATTATTCTGATGTTAAGAAAGCTCAGAAGGAAAAAGAATTGGTTTTTTCGAAAGCAATCAACTGAAAACTAACTGTGATATTACAGAACGGAGGGATTTTCCCTCGTCCACAAACAAATTGGAGGGAAAGACATGAGACATTTATTAATGCTGTTAGTCAGTCGAAAAAAGTGGACTACGCTCTCAAAACAGGAGCACCCTTGCCTCCTCCACCCAAGACAGCAGTCCCAAGTGGTAGGTCAATCGTTGAATAACGAAATTAGTGCTGAAGCATTTCACTGAGCAATTTCGTATCGGAACGTCTATTCGTGAGAATAAGAGTCCCAAATTACTTCTGTTTGCAATTTTTTTTGGAATTAATATTTGGAACTTGGGAAGAAGTAATCATAAGCTATGTTTAATGGAGAATCCCTCTATAGGAATCTCTCACTTAGTATCCATAGAAACAAACAAACCATTCGTAATCAAGAGGGCTAATATTCAAAACAATCTCCTAATACATAGTAAAGATGGTTTGAAGAACTAAAAAAGTATTTTTAGACTATGTTCAATGCGAGTACTGCGGACGTAACTTCAACGAACGGGCAGCAGAACGTCACATTCCATTCTGCCGGTAAATGCCGTAAGAATGTTCTGAAAACTCTATATTATTGTAGGGACCAGCATAACAGAAATAAACCACCTAAACCACCATCAACTGGGATGAAACCGCTAGCTGGTCATAAGCCTCCTACAAGTCATGCTTCAGTTTGTATCGATTTGATTTTTCCCCCTGATTGATTGTTTTCAGAGTCGGCAAAGCCGATCTCCCACTAGGTCTTCATCACGCTCCAGAGCAGATACTCGTGCCTCCACAAGGGAAAGGGAAGACCTGAAAGAAAGACGGAGGTGTTCCAGCTTTATTGTCCTTACCCTAATTTTATATATTTCAGATCATTAGACACTAGAGAATCCGTTCGTTCAAAACAAGCATCACCTCATAGACCAAGCGCCCAATCTGCTTCGTACACCCGAAATGGCGTGCCACCCACACCTAATCGGTAAACTCAGCCTAAACTATATGTTTTTTAATTGAATGTTTCAGTAGAAGTTTATCTGCTCCTAAAACGCCTGGTCAATCCCGGTTGAAACAACCGTAAGTTAAATAATAGTTTACCTACTTCACGTTGCTTGATGTGTAATTGCTTTTTTCCAGTACTGCAGTCGCTTTTCCTCGAAAACAACACGTGTGACACATTTTCTTTTATTTTAATAACATTATCAGCACTCTTTCAATAAAATGATATGGTCAGTGTGAGATGTACCTTTCATTATAGCACAGAGTGCTCGCACCAATAATTTTGTTCATAAGAAAGATATAACTTTTTCAGTGCGCAACATAAAATTTCTGGATATGAGAAGAGTCAGACTAGTAATACAAATATTCCTAAGACTCCGAAAAAACGGTTTGAGCAGCGTTTAGCTACATCATCAACAAGAGTAATGAAATCAAAATAAGTTATGGACTGATGTACCCATGCAATATTAAAGCTCCTCATGTATAATCTCTGCATCATTCAAAAAATCACTGTATACATCTTGAGTGGGTAATGCACGTAGTAAGAGCACGGCATCATAAAGGACATAGTACGGCTGAAAGAAAAAATTTGTTCAGATGAAGTGGAAAAATGCAACCGTTCTGAACGTCTTGCTAGCAAAACAACCATAGTCATCATATGGTTCTTACCTTATTGAAATCTCCTTCACATAAATATGGTAACTTCGTCCATTTCATAAGCTCGAATCCTGCTGGTCGCAGTATATCACTCAGAAGCGATTGTAAATGATCTTCAAATGTGTAGCCTCGAACTTTCAAGTATACATCTGAGAGAAGAGAAAGAGTTATTCAGAAAAATTTGTTTTACAAACCTGGTTTGTGAGTTCTTGTTGAGGGATGAAACTCGACATATTGTTTCAGAGGAAGAACTATTCCTAATAAGACTGGACATTTACTTCTAAATGCTAACTGGTGTAGGTCTTTCAGAAGTTTTTCCGGATTATAATGTCTATCAAGCAAATTGAGAGCCGAAATCAAATCATATTTTCTTTTTCCTGAAGGCCAATCATGAACATCTTCAATATTGAACCCTTTTGCCATCAAGCGGAATTGCATAGTCTTCAAATTCAACAGTTTTCACTGGAATTAAATAACGGAACCTTAGACATTTCCGTTGCGTAGATGTTCTCGAAGAGATTACTATATATCTGTGTAATACCACCATCTCCAGCACCTAGATCTAGAAGCTAAATGGAAATGTAGGAAAATGGCTAAGCAACTACTTACCGTTTTCCCTGCTCTATCCCATTCGTTTGTGACTCCCAGGAACTCATTCAGCTGATTAGTAGAGAAGAGAAACATACCTCCTACATTCAAAACAATTGCTTATCATGAGATATTTCGTACCTCGGTTTAGGACTCCATTAATAGACGTCTTTGAGAATATAGTTGAAAGGATCAAGGTCATAAATGAATAAAATGCCTATAGAATCATTATCATCGTGATTAAGAAAGCGTGCAATACCTGCAGACAATACGACTCACTTGTAGCAGTGGAAGAGTCCAAAAAGTTTTGAGTGTCTACATCTAAGAAAGATAAGTGAAAAGCATTCCAAACTTCTTCGCACAATAATGATTCCTTGAAACAGTTTCATTAGTTTCATTAAAAATTCTAAGGAATTACATTTGGAGCATACCAATGGATCCTGTCAGCGATTAAATGCCGTAAACCTTCCTCTTCTCTGTTCAACAGAATCTGTGCAATCTTTTGTCCACGGTATAACCTCATCGTTGCTGAAACATTTTAGTTTAAATAGTTTAAATAAATACATTTTTTTACATAGATAACGCCGCACAAGAACAACTGGGCGAAGGTATTCTACTACGTATAGTTGATAGTGTAAACGGCGGTCGTAATGTACGTAAAGTCCCTCAACTTCTATATTTTGCCGAGAATCTGATGAACCTCAGCGATCCTACCTCTCCAAGTGGATAATGAAATCAGTATTACTGATTCTCATTCTTTTCGTTGGAAAAGGACTCCTGAACGCAGAGCAGTGAGTTTCAATATGTATAAACTGGCCTGAGATAGGAGTGTTTCAGTCATGGGCGTAATATTGTACTAATTATCACTGATGATCAAGATATAGAACTAGGTTCGATGGATGAAATGCCTAAAACTCTCAAAATTTTAAAGGAAAAAGGAGTATACTTTTCAAGCGGGTATGGCTATACTTCGCTACTCACGTCGAAAGCCATATTTCAGATTTGTCACAACTCCTATTTGCTGTCCAAGTCGAACCTCCATCTTAACTGGGAAGTATGTACATAATCATAATGTTCATACAAATAATTGCAATTGCTCAGGTATGGAGTGGAAGTAAGTGTTGTATCGTTTTGGCTATAAAATCTGACTTGAAATAGGTTTAAGCATGAACCAAACGCTTTACCAGTACATTTGCAACGCAATGGTTACAGAACAGCTTACTTTGGAAAATACTTGAATGAATATGACGGGTGAGTATTATTCTTACAGTTTTTGACGAACACAACCGAGTCTATCAAACGTATGGATGGAAATGAAAACTATGCAGCGTTGTGTTTCCACGTCAAGTTCACGTGGAACGCTACGTCATTTTTCGTAGATAATTAGACAGAAGCGGTTCATTTTTCAGTTCTTATGTACCGGCGGGTTGGGATCATTGGCTCGGTCTAGTAAAGAATAGCAAGTTCTATAACTATACTGTCAATTTCAATGGAGAAAGATTGCGGTATGGAAACGATTACGAGAAAGTAAGATTGTTCTAAATTCGGTTCATAATTGAATTTGTTCAGGATTATTTCACCGATTTGGTCACGAATAAAAGTATTGAGTTCATTCATGAGCATTATGAAAATAACTTTTCTCAACCTTTCCTAATTGTAATTTCTTATCCTGCTCCGCATGGTCCTGAAGACCCTGCTCCCAAGTATGCTGATATGTTTATGGATAAATCATCACATCGGTTAGTATATATTATTGTGATGAGTTCTTTTCTTGTTTCAGAACTTTGTCATGGAACTATGCTCCAAATCCTGATAAACAATGGATTCTCCAAAGAACTGGCAAAATGGATCCTGTTCATGTAGCTTTTACTGATATTCTGCATCGACGCCGGCTTCAGACACTGCAGAGCGTGGATGAAGGGGTTCATCAGGCAAGTAAATCTTTTTATTATCTGTTTCAATTATTCTATTGCAGTTGTTTTCTGTTTTACGTGAATTCAATCAAGTTTCTAACACCTATGCTTTCTATACTTCCGATCATGGTTATCATTTGGGGCAGTTTGGACTCATTAAAGGGAAAAACATGCCATATGAATTCGATATTCGAGTCCCTTATTTTGTAAGAGGTCCTGGAGTTCCTAGAAACATCACGTAAGGAGGATTTCAGGATTAAGGATTGTTCTCAAACTTTTCCTGTTCAGAGTTCGTCACCCGGTAGCTAATATCGATTTGTTCCCTACTATATTGTCCATTGGAGGAGCAAAAGTTCCCAACGATACCGATGGAAGAAACTTGCTAGAACTCCTGAAATTGATAAAGGGTGAGTCTAGCAAAGCTTTAATAGTTAATACAGTGCTGCAGATGAAAAATCTGCTAATGTGGAGCCATGGAGGGATACTATACTAATCGAAAGAGGGTGGGGGTAGTTTCTGCATGTGAGTGAGCTTGTTGTTGCTTACTAACCTGCTTGCTTTTCCATTTTTTTACCTGCTCGAAGTTTTGTGCATTATTTGCTTCCTTGTACGGTACCTACAACTCGTAATTGAATTACAGAAAAATGCCTAAGCTGAAAAGAATCCGTGAACGATTTCTAAGCCAGAAAGCTAAATTTGGGAAGGAAGCTAGGTTGAAGAACGAATGTTCGAAACCGCAATGGCAAACTAATTGCGAGCCTGGTCAGGTATTCAGTAAAGTTCTACGTCCACACTGAATAATAACTTCAGTCTTGGCGCTGTTTCAAAACTGCAGATGATAAATGGAGAATTTACAAGTGTAGAGATAATAGAAAACTATGTGAATGTGCTGAACCTCGAGAACGCAGACACGCTGAAAGTTTCCACCTTTCCCACGACGTCACAGAAAATGCATTTTCAGATTTTGTATACGGGAACGAAAGTGTATATGATCAGTTTCTAGATGAATCTTATGAATTAAATATTATGGAGGACACAAACTGGAAGCAAGGCTTATTTGGTCATAAATTTTCGGTCTGAACTCATTTGCTCTCCATATATCCATTTGTTCAGACACGATTCAAACGGAGCTGCAGTTGTGCGGATAATAAAACACATCCCTTGTAAGTGTTGATATTAGAAATTATATCGAGTAGATCAAAGTTTGCACTTCTTTTCAGACGTAGTGCAGATGAAGTTGTAGAGGAAGAGATGTTTCTCCAAAAGTTGATTAATAAAAAAGAATCAAAGAAGAAGAAGTGAGTCCATTGTATGAAGGATTGTTTTTGACATATGAAAAATTGCTTCAGTTTATTGAATTACCCGGAAAGAGCAGCCTGCCTTGTTCCGCAAATGAATTGCTTTTCTCATGGAGCAGACCATTGGAGAACTCCACCTCTGTGGCCTGACTCGTACGGTAATTTCTGCTTTTGCCAGAACTCAAACAAGTAAGAGCTGATAAACAAGTTTTGAACACAAATCTGATTAAGCAATACTTATTGGTGTTTGAGAACTGTGAACGAAACCCACAATCTCCTATATTGCGAGTTTGTGACGGATTTCATAAGTTATTACGATTTGAACACGGATCCTCACCAGGTATGCTCTATTAGAACCTGTAGTCTCAGTGTTCGTTTCAGCTGAACAATTCAGTGTTTTCGTTAGAACCCGCAGTTTTGGAGGAACTGAATCAAAGATTAACTCTTCTAAAAGCCTGTAGGGGTGCTTCTTGCGAAGCATATTCTAGCCGAAATTGGAAATCATATACTCAGGGAAAGAAATAGCTTTTGAAGCAGTTTTGTTTGTTGTAAACGGCCTATTGAACGGGTCTTCTGTCTTTCGTCATTTATTTTGATATAAAACAATATTGAGAATTTTTGTATATGACACATTCATAACCGTACTGTATATAAGGTATCGTTGAAGATCAAGGTGCAGCTCCACCTTGGGCAGTTTCAAGTATCTGATCAGGCTCGTTATTTCTAGTAGACTGCCATTGCCGACTTAATGACTCGAAATGGCTATTCTGAGAAGTAGAGCTAATTCCTTGTTGGTCATTCACCCGATATCTGTAATTGAAGGGAATGCATAAGAAGCTAACATGACTTGGTATTGCCTGTGTGTAGTATAATTGCATAGAAGTTTGTTAAAGAATGGACTATTCTGAAGTTTTGTATGTTGCAGACATTTTCTCCTAATTTGTGAATGGGTCATGATGATGATTGAGAGTAATATATGTAATGATGATAAGTTGATAATATCATATGGATGAGAAGTTTTCTGAAAAGGAATGTAGTAGGTAGGTCTGTCTGTCAGCACTATAAGCACCTCTTTGAAACATTTCGCGACGTGTAGTTGAAAGGACATGTACAGGAGAACCCACATAGAAGAGCCTATAGATGCAAACGCCAGCGAACGACATGTACGAGCATTCTCTCTCAATTGATAACGTCCGCTGATTTTCTCTCCATTTTTCAGACTTTTCTGGAAGAAATGTGATTGAGATACAATTTGAGTAAGAAGCAGAGTAGAGTTGGAAAGAGTTATGTGGATGGTCTTATAGATGGACAACAAGTGAGAGCAAAACGTTAGAAACTTATTAAACTTTAGAAAACTAATTCCAAATAGAAAAAAGGATATAAATAACATTAAACAATCAGCCGTTATTTTCCACCTGTTCTCAGGTGTGACGTATTATTTAATTATAAATAGTATTTTAGAGTCGTATAACATGTTTGGACAAAGTATTTGAAAACTAAAAAAATTGCTAAAGCTGATGAATAATGGAGAAGGGGGAAAGCGGAACTCTCGCACTCATAAGATTTCCAGGACTTTTGAACTCACCCGGATGCTCGAGTTGAGTTTATGCAGAACGAGTGCTACAGGGAAGCTGGTCAGTTGACAAATGGACAAGAATAACACGACCCATGTGAAACGAGTGGAGCAAGCAACATTTTGTAAGACGTTTACGTCATCGGAAAAAATGAAAAAAGGGATAATAATCTGAAAAGACATGTATGATCATAGAAAATAAATGAATTTGTACCTGAAGAACTAGAACGACGTAGTTTATACATTTACAATATCTGCTTTTCTCGTATTGCGAGAAAAGATATGTAGCTATGGCTCGTTCTACTATCAGAAATGGGATTGTGGATAATAGGATAAATAGAAAAGCTCTAGACGGCCATAATATCCAATAGCAATTGATGTTTAGACTGTTTCCATACTACGTAAGCAGAAGTTTAATTCATAATTACTTTTCTGCAAACTCACGAGAAAATACATATTGATGAGAATTTGAGACATAGTTCTAAGTATGAATAAGAAACATAAATGAACTAGAATGAGTCTATAGTTCTTGTGTAAATTCTTAGTCTGATGGATAGTGTAAATGAAAAAAACTGAGATCGACGGGAAAATTAATAAAATTCCAGTGGTATCTAGCCATATCCATATCGAATCCTTAGTTCTGATAGTTCCGTTATAGCAATCCATTTGGCATTCTAAATAAAAATGTGAAAAACATGATAGACCGTCAAATGAAAACAAAGATTGAGATGGGAGGGTTTGGCTTCACAAATTAGTAACTTCATAATTACCAAATGGGGCTGTCAGGTGAGAAATATGTGTCTGTTCAATCAAACGTCAATAGACATGCATTCTAGGAAATAGGGAGGAGCGGGTATCGAAACATATTGTAGCTCAGAACAATATACAATTTGTAGGATTCGAAAGTTTTCCAAGATTAATCAAATCGATAAATATGGCGTCAGTAGAAGTGATACACACGATTCATCTCATGGGAATATTTGATGTAATCAACTTCCAAAATCAAATTTTATAATTATTAATTTGTAAGTGAACATATTTGTTGGAATAGAATGAGAGAAATTCGGAAGAAGTGAGAGCCACCCCGCCGATTGAACGAAAGTTCCAATATGTAAGACTTACAGGACAAACTCAGTCTTTACGCAGTGTGGCCCAAAAAAAGAAGTTGTAGAATGAAAATATTTTTCGTAATTGTACACGAAAAACTTTGCTCATATTAAAAATTTGAAAGTGATTTATTATTTTCACAATCACATGATGAAGAACTGTAAGGAACAGATGGAAAATGTTCTGTGAACGAATATTCTACGCTTGCAATCTAAACGTAGTTTCATCACGGAATTACTAAAGAACTAACTGAGACGTGAGGACTAGCACACTTTGGTGTGAAAAATATAAAAATAGTAATTGTTAAAAATATGTGTCGAATTGTGAGAAGCTGCAGTCGACTTGATGGAAATGACGTTGAGACATTTGTCTGAGACTCTCTCACACGATTCCTTCATCAGAAGCGCAGATATGGAACTTGAAAATAAAAGAACAGTTTACGAAGTTTGAAACAAAATAATGTACTGCATGGAGAATCAGCTGTTGTTCATAGTCAATTTCAACTCCAAAATAGCATTCTTATTTCAAAAATAAAGAAGTTGTGACGTAGTGTTCTTGAAGAAACACGGGAAATTGTAATTCTGAACTTTTAATCTGGATTTCAGGAAATAGTCAGGATCATCGACGTCAGAGGTATGAGAGTTTATTGCTCACTCGGCTACTCGAAGAAAACTAAATAAATAAGTTTTATTCAGATAATTAATCATATTTTATACTCAAAAAAACATACTATAAAGTAAGCCAATAAATGGAAACAGAGCAAATTAACAGCACAACAATTCCATTTAAATTTGATTTAATACTCGTTGCACCTTTCCCGAGGCTGTCTGTGGAGAAAACGTGAAGAGAATTATGAAATTTGAGCTCATTCAATGATTTCTAATCAATCTCGACACTAATAAGAGGATACGTAGAGTTGGCCATAAATTGGTGTAAATTAATGCTCCAACCACACAATACTCCACGCTTCTCACTACTGAAATAGAAATCGAAGCAATTAGCAGTAATATAATAATGCAGACAAAGTCAGAATGAGATCATAATGATTTATCATTGAGATGTTATTAGTTTATGATATAAGTCAGAGATTGTGCGTGCCACAAAGAATCAAATTAATTTATTGATTGAAATACTGAACCACTCGTTTATGCTAACTGACGGCAGCTATGCCAGCGTATTCATTCTTACCTTGTCCCTCGCACAGAGCGGTTGCATTTCGAACAGGCCGAAGAGCCGGGCAGTTTAAACAGAAAACAACAAACTTGTGAGAGAGCATAATGTGTTATTTTTTATTGCATTAAACTTATTTTGTTACTGTTTTACACTATATTATTGAAGTTTCTCGGATATCATGTTCATGCACTTAGTCCATGATCAGAGATCACCGTAGCAATTTAGAAAAACATTTAGAACATTTGAGTCATGATAACTTTATTCATGAGCATTCGCTATATTGTGGATAATTGGTCATTTTAATGAAATAAAGATTGAATGCAAATACATATTACGGATATTATCATTTAAACGCGTTTGTAGAAACGCTTGGCGACGATTCCTTCGGCTTCCATGCTCTAAAACATCAAATATCAGTTGATATTCAGTTTCATCAAACATACTACAACGAGGAATTCCTTTCCGTCTTCAGTGGCGAAAGTGTATTCATAAGATTCATCCTTGGCTTCTCCACTCTCAGTTGGGACGTGTTTCTCGACGAGCTTGCTTCCGACAAGGGTGAAAGTAACGTTGTGCTTGGTGCTGTCTAATCCTTCTCCAACGAATTCTTTTCCGAGTTGAACATTCTTCACAGAGAAAGAATTGAATAGCTTTACTCTGGTTTACCCACCTTGTAGAACACGTTCTTCTTGGAAGTCAAGTTAGCATAATCGAAAGTTCCAGGCTTTTCTCCCTTGGTGAACTCTTTCTTGAAAGTAGCGAATGTAACAAGTTTGCGGGTGATCCAGCTGTATCCTGGAAGAAAACATTTCCGCATTCGTATTTTTGTAATTGTTGAGAAGAATTGGACATAATGTCACCATTTTTTTGCAAATCACAATTGAATGGTTTGTAGCGAACACGAATAACACGTACCTTTAGCTTCCAAATACTCCTCGAACTTCTCGGAATGATCAAGATCGAACTTTCCGTAGAATTTCTCAGGCAATTCCTGAACACGATACCGTATTGGAGACTTTTGAAGAAAAACTCACAGCTGAGAAGGCTACGCCGGCAACAAAACAAAGAAGGATGATTGAATAACCGTTCATGTTGGAACTCTGGGATGAGACTGATTTCTCTACGAAAGAAACTGAGACTCCGCCCGATTTATTTTGTTTCTGTTGTTGTAATAGTCCATAGTTCTTCCCTCCCAAATTCAAAAGTTTTGATCTAACAACGATTCATCGCTCTACAATTTGTATTTTGGTAAAACCGTCCGCCAGTTTTTAGAGGAGAACGGGAATTAAAAGGATCAGCCTAATATAGTACTAATGAACGAAAAAGATTTAAAGGATAAAGTATGGTTTATTATGTTTTCAATTTAAAACAATTTGAAACGCTTATCACAGTAAGGTATATCTCAGTTCTTCTTATCACGTTTGAACCAACGTCTGCAGACGATGCTGTTGTTTTCCATTTTCTGAAAGACTTCGCTATCAAATGCTCAGTAGAAGGTATACAAACCAAAACAAGTTTATCGTTCTCATCAATTGTGAAATAATAAGTCTCAGCTTCGTTTCCTTTTCCATCTTCATTCAAGCGAACGTGATGCTCAGTCAAAGTATCATTTTTGAAATCAAAAGTAATCTGCAATAGGAACGGTCAACGAACATCCTTATGTGATAACGGTAGCCTGGCTAACCTTATGCTTGTTTCCGTCGAATCCCTCAGCTTCGAAAGTTTTTCCTAGTTCCCAATCTTGGTATTTAGTATTCTTCTTCGATGTCAAGTTTTCCATGTTATAGCTATAAGGGACAAGATGCAAAAAGGTATGAGGACAAATATGGAACCTTCCTTCCGAAGTACCCTTGCTAATGACTTTGGTAACACTGGCCAACTGAATCATCTTCCTTAAGATCCATCCAACACCTAAGCATATCGTAGAATTCAGAAACAATGCTGTGCCATACCTTTGGCGGAGAGGAATTCATCAAAGTTCTCACTCTTCTCCAAAACAAATCGTCCAAAGAACTTTTCAGGAATCTGTTCAGCACTAGTCATCTGATATGATTAGTTTAAGTACAATGTTCGAACTCGCGAAAATAAAAAGAATGGTAAATCCAAACCTGAATGATGACCAAAACAGTAAGCACACCTATGCAAGCGACTTTCATTGTTGCAAATAGGATAGAATTAAGAGAATTCAGGAAATTGAAAGTTTGTGTAAAGATTTTGGACTAGCAACTGTTCCAAAAGGATTCACAGAAATCAAATGAGCAATGTTAATCACATCAATGAGAGGTCAATCTTTGGAGGATGATGGAGTTGCTGACATTGCTCCTGGCATGTCTTCGTTTCCACCTTTATCCAAAGTTTATGAATAAAGCGCGAGGTCAATGGTTTACGAACGCTGTTTGTAAACGTATACTTCTAGCTTCTTTCCTGGGAAAGTTGGAAATCTCAAAGAGCAAAGAGTCATCATTCAGTCAAAGTACACAAAAAAGAACATTAAAAATGCAATGCGATTGAGGAAGTGATGGACTTACATCATACCCTATCATGATTAATCATGTCGAAGGATACGACAGCTAAACAATCTGACCTACCGCTATTTAATTAACATCAGGTCAGATTGCCTATTGCGGTGAACTGTTGGTTCACCCCAACCATCAGAGTAGCCGAGCAATGCAAGCAGAACTGTTTTTCATATCTATGTTATATACAACTGAGCATCATTGATAAAATAGATGATAAGATATGATGTAATCCCGATTCTAAACAACTTTTGGATCCTTTTTCACTTAAATTTTTCTTTGACCTTATATGGTGTGTGACTAATCGAAAAACAACTGATGTCGTGAATTACTTATGAGATCAGAAATCAACAAATTGATTTATACTTTAGTTGAGGACCTGAGTGCTCTTACATAATAATTAACGAACACGCAAGCAGTTTCCATGTGATGACCAAGGTAAATTCTAGCAAATTGCTTTTGTTAAACCATGTTTGGGCAGGAAATGCTCAATGAACTTTCTGCAAGACAATTCGTAAATCATTCTGCTGTAGTAAACTTTTGGTTTTTTCCGGAGAATCTGGAAAGGGATTGACATTTCCATCTGACGTTAATCCTTCATTCAGTGGTTTCAAAATCTGTTATCAAGTGTTATTCCGACTGTTTTTCTTGGCGCTTCCGAAAGAGATCACTTTTCTGGAAAGTGGTGTGCTGCCACAGATGCTGATAAGATTAGTCCGAAAAATCTGATAATTGAGCTATTCGTGTCGGAGGTTTCAAAGAATTCACGAGTAACGTCGACAACCGCCAGTTCTTCTAATCTCCGGAAGTAATTATCCAAAGCTCTGGTTTTTGGCCAAAGCTTTTTTTTCGAAAGAAAATGGCTCTCTTATCTTCTGCAACCAAGACAGGAAAGCGTTGGGTGACTATGAGAACCGATTGCAATGAATGTATAGAGGATGATGTTTGAAAGAATATTATCTTAATGTTCATCAGTAATCACAAGATATTCTGACAATATGCTTTGGAAAACATATCTCCGAAATGTGACAGAAATCTCTCATCCTCTCTCTCGCTCTCTCTCTTCTAATCTCTCTCTCTCTATCTCATTCTCTTGTAGTTTGTAGAAGAAAGACAATGATAAAAGTGTGCCGAAAATTGTTATTTTTGTAGAAGAAAATGTTTTTTTTGTCTCAGTTTATATTCTGTGTAGAAGTTTACAAAAGACAAATGTCAAGGAAAAAAGAAAACAATTAAACACATGTGGTTCAAGCGATTTCGCTTTTTTTTGTCTTCCGATCCATCTTTCTTAACATATGTCGTGAATATTTGAAATTTAGGAGAAAAGAATGGAAATTCTCTTAAGAGGGAGGGAAAGCCTACTTTCACTAACAATGACAACATGTCCCATTTAGGCGAATGAAATTGATTTCGGACAAGTTTATTTAACTTTTCATCCAAAATCTTCATTCATCCGGTGTTGAAATAGACGTTCAGAACTTTATTTGCCAAGTTGCTGAAGGGCTGAAGCCCAGCAGGCCAAATGAGAAACGAAAACTTTGAATGAAAGAGTTGGAGTAAAAAATATTATTTTTTATATCTTTCGTATCTCGCTTTTTGTTTAATTAATTACTACTTTTCATTTATTCTTTTTTGAAATTGGATGTTTTTTCTCCTACAAACTCCAAAAAAAAAGACTTTTAGTATGTTTTTGACAAACAACTTGGTGAACAATCCATATAATCATCGTTCACTTCTGTCTGACACATCATTATTAAGATAAAATTCAAAAAATTCTGTTCTCTAACAGCTTCTCAGATATTACTCAACATGCAATTTACAGAAGTAGCTCATACATGATGGACGGCGAAAGCTTTATCCCCGTCAGCATTCCCGCTTTATCATTTCCGAGCCGACTTTGGAAATCATGATGCTTCTAATCATTCTCTTTTCTCTCTCTTGAGCAACAAGAGAAAAAAACGAAATGAACTAATAAAATGAATCTTATTAGCGTCTAATGAAAGGAATTTTATTATTCGGCTACGAGAAAAAAACAAATTGAATTAAGCAGTTGGAAAGTCAGCCTTAATGAAGGCCGATTGCATACATTTATGTATTTCATTCAGGCATTAGAAATCTTTTCAATCGTTCCCCGGAAATTTGATATTTTGCCCTGTTTGGTATCCTTTTCTTGAGGTTCCCTCGAATGATGCTCAGATCAGTCGATGCCAATGCATTTCTACTTCTTCGTTTTCTTTCACATACTAATGCACTTCATAATTTCATTCTTTCTTTATTATTTCGAAAAAGTTTTCTTTTATTCACAATTATGAATGTACTTTCTCATTTTTTTGTGTTTTCACACTTATTTACATCAGACGGAGTTTTTCACGTCACATCTCACGTGGAAGATTCTTTTGATTCATTCTTCTTTCGCGGCGCTCGCTGAACGGTTGCTCTTTCATATCCCCTCTCTCTCTTTCTCTCTCTCACCTTCACTCATCTCTATCCCTTTTTATACTTTTTCAATTTACATAAAATACGAAGATTCATGATCATTATCTCCTCATTTATATGTTTTATTTTCTAATTTTACCCCTTGTATCTAGTATTTGCTTGTTGAATCAGCTTCTACTCTCAACTAGAGACAACTTGACTTGTGCTTTCATTTCATCTAACATCAAAGGATGGCACATCGAAATCGAAGAGAAAGGCACGAAACTTGTCCATAACCATCTTCAACTTTCTTGTTGGTTTTGTTACTTCGTGTTTAATGTAAGAAAAGGTCTTACGGCGCTTTCTCATATTTCCGGACACACACCTTTGAAGTTTCGAGAGGAAGAAGGGAACAACGGACCTAACACAGAAATAATTGCTCGGCTTTGTCAGCTTGAGTCTTTTGACCGTCTTAAAATTGAATGTTTTTCAACGTTTCTTTATATTCAGCCTTTATCGTCACTCATCATTTACATAAATATCTGCCGATTTCAAAGAATCCTCGTACAAGGGCAGTTGTGAAATACCTGAAGCTTTCTATTAGTTTTTCAATTTGCTACAAGTTCATTACTGTGGGCAGGAAAACAGCTGTCATATTTGGCTTTACTTCGTTCGAAGCCCTTCCTTCTCATAGGTTCTCCGCCACCACAGTTAATTATTATTCGGATTTCTGTCTCACTCTCTCTCTCTCACTCTGAGTTAAAGGACATCGTCTACTGTCTGCAAAAACGTGTAAACTTTTCGTTTTTTCTTTTCTAACACGTTGTTCAGTCTCATCTTACAGTTTAGTCAAACAGTAGAAGACTTGCGATTACGTTGCCAAACATACTCTTTCTTGTTTTTCTTTACCGAGCAATGTTCAATCATAAATGCCTTCCTCACTCATCTTCACTCCCTTTGAACTTTGCTTTTCCTATTTCCTTTCAAACAGAGAAAAAATGAATTCAAACTACACCTGCCGATTGGAAAATAACTTTCTATTTTAAGAATGCGAATATGAATTAGTGCATAGATCAATCGAGAAAGTCTCTCTACTTGATTTTTGAGACACTACAAACAGAAAACGAAGGGATACTGAGAGAGCTTCTTACTTGATTGGTACAAAGCTAATCCTGATTTTCAGTTTAATAAATCATTTTTCCATAAATATCTTATCCTACCGTCATTCAGAGATCATCATCTCATCCTTCAAAGGCTCATTTCAACTTTCATTTGAAGTTTATTTTCTTTTTTTTTCGTCTCATTCCTCTTGCACAAACTGTCATTTGATGACATCACAGTTTGTTCTTGCCTCAAGCTTCACATATCTTATTTCCTGTCTTTTGCCCACACATGTCGCGTGTCTTAAAACATTCGATTTCTGATTGTTCATTTACTTCAAATATTGTGTGATAAGTTTCATTTCCCAGTAAGTTCATGATAACAATGAAAACACCTTTGCGTGCATATTATGTTGATGAATTCAAATGAATATGAATATGGAAGTTATGCCCTTGGAAGATCTTCGAGCAAGAAGTTGTGTTTTCCATGTGCAATGCAGAAGCAAGTGCAACATCTTCTGAACTTCCTTTCATGATATTATAGCATTTAAAAGTTTTTTACACAACGATTAATATCCAAAAAGCAAAAAAACGACAGGAAATTCGATATATTTGCCGACAACATACTCTTCTCAGCTCCATTCAACACATTCACGGGGTGGAAAATTCATAATTTTCATTTCTTCTTGATTTCGCAAATGGAGTTTTGATGAAGAGAACGAGATGTTCAAAGATTTTTTGCTACCGAAAGATAATCATAAGCTTCTGTCCTAACTACCACTTTCATTATAATTTTTATTTCAAAAGGAAATTTGTTTTTCCATAGTAATAGGTCAATCTTCAATTTTCATGCTTCGCTTGTGTCTGATGTTTAACTTCTCTCATATGAAGTACAACATAAGAAATTAAAAAAAAAAGACCTTGCCATGTTAGATTTAGTCAACAATAGGCTTTAGGCTTATGATTAATTGAGAATTTAATGAAAATATTGAATTATTAATGTTTCCAAGAAGAGTCAACAGTTTCCATCAAGACTGATATCGCCGTCTATGTCACCATTAATCTTCACATTGACTACCTTTGATTATTTTTCATTTTTTTTTCCATACATGTTTCAACATTTTCGACATGCAGCTGTTTCTATTGACATCCGGGCTATCGTATTCGAACATAGAAGCCGTTCACGTAAATCACGTAATATGAATTAAATTTTTCATTTCTTCACTTGCAGTCGTATCGTGCGGTTGCTATTTTCTATTCAAGAAGGAACTGGAAGGTGTTTTCGAAAAAATATTCACCTGTCTCACCTTCAGTTTTTATTTCATTTTCGAACGAAATACTAAGATCTAAGCATGAATGGAAACATTCGGCTGACATCTTCTTTTCTTTCCGCCCTCATTTGAATTTTGCTCTCACTTTTTTCAATTTTGAACTTTCTCTCTTCAGCTTCACTTGCTTAAACTAACTTGATTTGGCTTGGCATCATAGGCTATTTTTAACATTCATTCTACTACATAGCTCTCCAGTCCGACTTTCGTTCTCAAAAAAATGTTCAAAAACAATATTTTGTAGCGAAATGTCTTCTATTATTCTCATCGTCGGATAACTATGAACAGAAACCTTTCTCCAGCTTTTTGTTTTGCGTTCTCATCAGCGATCCCGTCTTCTCGTGATACTTATAAGTAAAATAAATAATTTCATAAACTTCGTGCACATCTCGTATGGAAACAACGACCCCCCTCCTCCTACTCGATCTCTTCCTCTCTAGACTTCTCTAAACGCTCTCCATCATTCCCGTTTAATTAAAATTTTTTTGTTTTCACCAGAGATTTGAGAAATATAAATATCAACACATACATAAACATTCGAAGTGTTTTCTTACTTTGAAGTCTTTGTCAGTTTGAGAAGAAGAAGGTTTGCAAATTTCATAAAACTAATCGCCAGCTTCTATTCTTACTCCCATTTGCTATTACATAATCAAACGAAGTCATTTCTCTTTATACCTAATTATATCATATGGTTAGATATAATTTTCGTTAATTATAAGATTCAATCGATCAGCAATAACGTCATGTTCTTAGATTTTCATTACATTCAAATGAACTCGGTATTAAAATCTTAACAATGCGACGGAATGTGATGAGAAGTCCTTTTCACACTTTTTCCTTCACAATTTGGTCTTGAGTGCCAAAAATCAAATACTTGAGTGTTTGACGCACAGCCTTCTGACCATAATTTTATCTTTCGTTTCTTGCTATGTTATTAAATGTTAAAAATTGTAATTTTTCTTATTTCAGGACGATCTATTAGTTTCAATTGGCTCACCGCATTTTTCAGTTTTGATTCATAAAACATGAATTCATCTGAAGAAAGCCCTTTGAGCCATCCTGTTATTCATTCCATTCTGTTCTTGGCCTATGTATCCGTCTTTCTGACGGCCACGCTTGGTAAGCTTTACGCTTCGCCAATTCTGATCACTTCGTTTTTTCTTCAGGAAATGCTGTTATCCTCGTAGTCTTTATTTCTCAACGAAGAGCTCGCTCTGTTCCAAATTTTTTCTTAGCTAATCTTACTGTTGCTGATCTCCTGGTCGCCATTTTCTGTGTTTTGCAGAATGGGGCTCACTTTGTTCTCTTAGGTATGCACTCTTACTCACTACACAAGCATGAGTTCTTTAAGGCCATGGTCATTGGGTGTTTGGAAAGTTCTTATGTTATACATACATCTACACTCTGCATCTCATTCCTAATGTATCAGCTGGGATTTTGGTAAGAAACGCCAAGCAAGTTTGAAACTTGATGTCGTTCTCTAGGTTTTGGTTTCCGTTGAAAGATTGGTAGCCGTTTTGCGACCTTTGCGAGTTCGTAGAGTTTTTCAGCGAAAAGTCCTTGTTTCTTCCTCAATTGTTGTTTGGACAGGTAAATGGAAGTTCCTTCTTTAGATACTTGACGTTTTTTTCTTTTCAAGCAAGTGCTCTGATGAACTTTCCTTATTATTTTGCATCTCAACATATGGAATTCCATGATGGAAAAGAAACATTTGCGGTAGAACTATGAAAAGAAAACAAAAAGAGAGAACTGTGTTTTGCAGATCTGCACGAGAAGACATATCGTCATAAATGACATAAACGTTCTGAAAGTTGTTACAACTGTCAACTTTGTAGTTTGGTTTGTGCTTATAAGTAATATATAAAAAGAGTTTGTAATATATTTGAAGGTATGCCATCCCTCTTCTGGCTCTCTTGTTTATCTATGCAACTATTGGAATAGTTGTAAGTAGAGCTGCAGATATTAGTCAGTCATCTATAAAAGGAAACAAATTATTACCAAAAGGCAGTAATGATAGTCGGATAGGTAATATTATATTATATTTTAATGTTTGATCCTCTTCGTTATCATACCCGGAATTGGGCTAATGACTATGTGGGCAGACTAGGTATTTAAAAAAATTAACTGCTTAGCAACCGCTCACCAACGCGCTCAAAACAAAAATAAAAGATCTAATGGACGTGGAAGCTAATTAGCATATTAAGATTCAACATCTGGCGGCGTATCGATTGAAAAAAGACGAAAAGTTGGTAGATTAGCTTTGGGTATTGTATCTTCCTTCGCAATATGTTCATTACCACGTTATGTCTATCTTATGTGGAGTGTATGGAGAGATCCAACAGGTACATGCAGTATGAAGAGTCTTCTCTCTAACAACACTGTTTCAAGCTCCAAGATGTCTGAACTGTCTGCAAACCATCCTTCAGCCAACCGGATTTCTATTTCTTTTCCTAAATTCTGCATTGAATCCATTCCTTTACGCTTTCCTATCCGTACGATTCCGTCAATGTATTAAGGATACTTTCTACTGTAACAAACGAGTTAGCAAAGACGTTATAGAAGTTAGAAACTTGTAGAATATGTTTAGAAAGCTGAGCTCATAGAAATGTCATCGAAAGCCAATAAACGACCACCACCGCCTTCTGTTGATACCGCTTATGACGATTTACATTAAGATTTCATTATTGTACATACGTGGCTATGGATCTATTTATTTCATTTTGTATCAATCCTGAGTTATCTATTTAGCTTACGGGCATTCCAACTCTTCGTTCATAATTTGATCCAACTTAATCTGACTTTCTTGCTTATTTCGCTATTTCTTTTTAAAATGTATAATTTGACATAACAGTATCATCTTAACAATGTGAAATAGACAAGCAACTGCAGAGACAAGAAGAAAGAATTATGTTCATTCATGACATTCTCCGCTAGACATCTCATAGGTACGAGCTTTTAGGGATTCGTACTAGATCTCAACTGCTACAAATGCGAACTTCACAAAACCCACAGTCCCTAGATGTCAATGGAGCCTGTTTGGACGTGGTGTTTTGTATTATATGCTGTGCTTCCGTCTCTGTTGTATTTTCAAAAACGAAATCTGATAAACAGTTCATATCCAAACCCCAGTTATCCAAATGTGAATTTAGAAAATCCAGATCTCATTTTAGGAAAAATCTTAGGAAATACAAGATTAGTAAAGCGACCTATTTTATGAATGAGTTTCCGACAATCCGTAATGCAATCTGCTGGAGGTTACTAACAGTTGGAAACCTCGTTTCGCACTAGCAGTCTGCTATTCTTTCATATTCGACAGGTTATCGAATTGATTCACATAGATCAGTGATAACAGAAAAATTGAGGTGTAGAATCAGTGAATACATTCCTTTATGACTCACCACACTTTGAAACGTAATTCCTTCATCATGATCATCAACCGGCTCTTGGTCTTCCTGAGTTAGATACTGTAGTCAACAACACAGGAGTTACGACTGATACACAGATATCCGAAATTCCTTGTTTATCTCGACTCAAATTCGATTTACTGATCATGCGGTGTGTTTAAGTCAAATTTTCTTTATTTTTTCACACAACACAATTTCTTGTGAATGAAATCATCTATAGACTCCATCTTCGCTAAGGGCTCCTCTCTCATATGCTAGAGTTGGGAAACTTCTTGACAACGTTGACAGTCGAGAATTTGAAAATTTTTGTTCCTGGTGGATCAAACCCTAGTCGTTACTCGATTGACAGAGATTTCATGATGAGCTATTGATGGATGTGTAAATGAACTTTATAAACTGAAAAGTGTTGTCGCCACGTAATTTGATAAACATTGCGAGGGCTTGAACCGGAACGTCATGATTTCAAGCCTTAAGTCAGTAGGAAGCTTCAAGGAAGTTAAAATTCTTAAAGCTAACTCCATTCAAGTCATTGGTATTTCAATAAAACTGATGGGTAACAGCAAGTTTCTAATTAATCAAGTTGTGAATAGCATTTGCTTCATACACCCATCTCAAAGTTGATACTCTATCCCCAAATTCTCATTTCCTTCTTGTCATACATTTCGAAATCTTTTCGTTCCATGAGTCAGGAGGCAATTCTTATTTCATCATTCGAGTCTTTTCGAAAAGAAAAGCGTTTGTTTCTCTCATATTTCGTCGTTGGCGTCACAAGGTCTGTGGAGGCGGTCAATCGATAGACGCGTTTCGAAGGTTCGCGACGCGGTTGTCTAGCTGTCTGCTCCCTCTTGGAGTCCACACTCTATCATTTATGGCTGTCTGTGCGCTCCTATTCAACGTGGTCTCTCATTACAGTCAAATGGGCGGAGTTTGGAGAAGCATATAAAAAGAGTGAGAGCGAGCGTCACCATCATTTTCAGTGTTGTTCCTAGTTTTGGCTGTTCTTGATTCTCCTACTCTGGCTTGTTCCACCACGTCTATTTGCAATTCACGATGTTTTAGTTGCTGTTTGTCTTCATACCGGGTGAGATGTTTCCATTTTGATAACTACGTTCCCTAGACTCTGTTGGCACACTAAAGATGTGTCTGTCTCATTTTGAATTTGACGGATTTTTGTAGTCCCAATCCATCCATCCATCCTCTTCTCCTTATCTCGAATGGACAAATAATTTGTAACGGAAAAAAAGATGGCTTTTATCTTCTCCCATAACTTGAAGAATCTGCAAATAGGGTTTACCTAAAGGTTAGTAGGCCACGCTCGCGGTCAATGAATGCTTAGGTTTTGCGATAAAAATTCTCGAGAGCCCAACGGAAAATGTAGCAATCAAGATGCGAAAAGTTTGCTACTGGTTGTGAGTCCGATTTTAATGCTTCCTAGTGTGGTATTATTCCAGTTCTCTTTGACAGGCTCGCTGGGAATGTCATTCCCAAAATTTCAGGTAGATCTCAGATTGTTAGGAGCGTTCTACTTCTCTTTGATTTCTCTGATTGAATGAAAACATTAGATGGACCACATAAAGCACAAAGCGAAAATGTTCCCGACGAAGGCCATCATTGACATTCTTCATTTTTCTTTTTTATACATGGGAAAACTCTGATATACATAAGAGTGATTACTGTAGCATCTTTGAACCAGTGTTGAACGAGAGAAATAAATTTGATAAAATCCCTAATTTTCTTATCCAAGTTCTTTTCTTTGCCATTCATAGCAAATAAAACGTCAACTCATTAAGCATTAGTGAAAACCAAAAAGAGGTCCCAGACCCATCATCATGTGTTTCAATTATTTTATTATTGGTTAGCAGAAGAATTCTTCATTTTGTTTTTGACTATATGTGGAAAACTTAATCAAGGACACATTTGTTCAGTAGAATATGTTATCGAAGGACTTATCATTCAGCACTCGCACTTGGATAAGATTTACCAAACAATACAAACTTCAGTTTCTGTGTACAATCAATTGTGTTAAAGTGAGTGACGGCTTGGCATGATCCTTAATAATTGAAATGCGTTTCTGTCCATTTGTTCTCCCATTTTCCTTTATGGCTACTCGACTGTATAATCACAGAACACCACTAGCACAGCCAAACCGGCATGGCTAATGAGGGGTTTGTCATATGTGTTCACCTGTGTATGTACTAACAGTCGAAACTGTATGATCTTAATGCTTTTCAATTCTTATATATAGCATGATGACAAGATAAAGGGAATACCTATTTAATACCAGTGTAGAAATAAAAAGGCCTGCCTATTGTGTACCAACAATTGTCCTGTATTTGAAACCCCCATAGCTTCACTAAGTATAATTGAAAGATCTTTTACTTCGAACAGTACACTCAATCCGCTAATTGAACTTTTTAACTTCCTCGGCAAATAATCCAGATTCATCTCTCTACAATTCTTGATTACCTCCTTACAACCTTCACTGAACAAAGCTCTGATCCCGACCACTTGAACCTTCAGAACCATATCCTAAGATATCACTAAGAGGCTTGTAGGTAGGACATCATCGTGAGCAAGTTGAAATTCTCAAATTTCTAAGCGTACCACCCAAACTCTCCTATGATCCCCATTCTCTGAAAGACCCAGACATACCTTCACTGAGATATAAAATCTCTTAAGACTCTCTTGATAGGACTCTTGTGTAGGAAGGTTGAAATACTGAAAC